TAAGACACATTAGATTGAATGAAAAAATAAAGTTTAAATATTTTAGTTATTGTGGTTTAAACCCATTACATTTAAAGGAGCCAGTAAACAAGCTGACTATAAAAATATAATAATATATAAAACTATAATAACTATAGAATAATTTTGATAATAGGTTGTGATTTCAACAAGCTGTAAATACATTTTAAACCTATAGTATGTATCTATCTGTTTCTCCATCGAACTGTCTCTCTGTCTGTCTGTCTATCTACCTGTCTGTCTGTGTGTTTGTCTATCTAGCTACCTGTCTGTCTGACTATCTGTCTGTCTGTCTACCTGTCTGTGTGTTTGTCTGTCAGTCTGTCTATCTGTTTGTCTGTCTGTCTACCTACCTGTCTGTCTGTCTGTGTGTTTGTCTATCTACCTGTCTGTCTGTCTGTCTATCTACCTGTCTGTCTGTCTGTCTATCTACCTGTCTGTCTGTCTGTGTGTCTGTCTGTGTGTTTGTCTACCTGTCTGTCTGTCTATGTGATTGTAACTTTAATGATGTTAAGCAAAAATAATGCACAAACTGTTTAGCTCCATTCACTATGATTAGTTGAAGTGCTCCCTCTACTGGCTCTGTAGTGTATTACAGTAACATTTTTGGTAGAATTTGGTAACTAGGAAGGAATGGTGATGGGAAATTCTGGCTCTTTTCAGTGAGTCAGGTCAGTCAGCTCGTCACAGTGAGTCAGGTCAGTCACCGTCAACGAGCCTTTTGATTTAATTTTAAATGAAGGTTCCATCCATTTTCTGTATCGCTTCTCCTACACAGGGTCGCAGGGAGCCTGGAGCCGGGCACAGGGCGGGTGCCAACCCATCGCAGGGCACAATCACACAGTAAAGACAATTTACACATGCTAATCAGCCTACAATGCATGTCTTTGGACAGGGGAGGGAACCAGAGTATCCGGAGGAAACCCCTGAAGCACAGGGAGAACATGCAAACTCCACACACACACACACACACACACACACACTCACACACACACACAGTGAGGTGGCGGGATCCTGGAGGTACAAGAGAAATGTGCTAACCACTAAACGCCCAAAGAATATAGTTCTTATAATAAAGTATAGTTAAAAATAGCAATGTGTTGTATAATTAAACTGAAATATTCTACAGTGAGCATTCTGATATTAATATTACTGAACTTCACTTATCTTTCATTAACAAAGTGGAATTTAAACAAGATTTCTGTCTATTTATCTTTGATAACTGTTCCTATCCCCATTATACTGCACTGATATTATATATACAGTATATACATTTGGCTCTAAATCTTTACAATGGTCCAAATGACTCAGACATTGATATGACTCACTTAAGCAAAGTACCTCCATTTTCAGGGGCTCAAAGGTATTTGGACAAAGTGCCATAATTGTAAATATAACCACAATTTTATTACTTGGATGAAAATCCTTTGCAGTCAATGACTGCCTGAAGTCTGGAGCCCATGTTCTCAAAACTCAAATTCTGAGTTTCCTCCCTGGAGATGCTTTGCCAGGCCTTCACTGCAGCCACCTTCAGTTGCTGCTTGTTTGTGGGTCAGCTTTATCTTAAAATAAAGCTGAAAGTCTACACTTCCATCACATCTTGATTGTTTTATTTCAAATCCATTGTGGTGGAGTATAAAGGCAAAATCACAGAAACTCTGTCATTGTCCAAATACTTCCGGACCTGACTGTATATATATTCATACTCTAGTGAAAACTGGATAACCAGCCTGGCCTGACTTGGTAGTACCTGGTACAAAGTGTGTGTGTGTGTGTGTGTGTGTGTGTGTGCGTGTGTGTGTGTGTGCACGCGTGTACATGCTGTGTTCCTAAAACTCCTCTCTCATGCCCTGTAGAGCAGATTACAGTGTGATGATTGCGTCCCGCTGGTG